GTCAACGCCTATCTCTCGTCCCTCTCCTCCTCCTCGGACTCGAACTCATCGCCGAGGGTCGTCCTCGCGCTCGCCTCCAGACCCACCGACGCAGGTAAGCCTACTCGAAGCCTCTCTATCCTCTCCTATCACCTTTTATCATTTCAGCCTTGAACTCCAAGAGGCGCGCTCGTCCCTACCTCCCGATATCCCAACAACCTAAAACGCACGAATAACCGATTAGCCTTAAAAAGTGAATCTTCCTCGAGTCCTAAGATAAACGGACGCCTCGTGAACCGCGTCGTCGGACTTTCGCACTTGTGTTTGAGCCCCCATTTTAAGCGGACAATGACACAGGACGGTAAATTATCACGTAAAGCTCGTCCGGAGCGTACGATTATGTCGACTGGTCGGGTAAGACATTAAATCATAATGGCCCAAGCTGCACTCATACACACGAGTCCTTGCAATAATGCGCAAAGTGCTTTACATTTCCCGAGCTTTCATTGGCTCTCCGTGTAGATCCTTAATCGAGAATCGAGTGTCATTGCACAGTCGACCATTGGAAATGGAATGGAATTGGAAACGGCATATCAATCATTGGTCTTGGCTATTCTGTTCGGCAACCTTTAAAGCGCCCAATGTCGCGCAACAATCGCCAAAAGAAAAATATTCAAAATTTCTTATCTAAGCTTGTAAATCCGTGTGCATAAGCACAATCGTTAGTAGCCGATTGAACGATCGCTCGTTTCTTAACATGCAACAGTTGCATCGATGCACACCAATTTAATCGCAGCTTTTAATCCCCACCCAATTTCATCACAATCCATTCAACTACATGTCCTCCCCATTCACGCTTCTCTCTCTCTCTCTCTCTCTCTCTCTCTCTCTCTCTCTCTCTGTCGCACCGCGACCCTCACTTTATTTAACCTTACTCACTTACTACTAGAATACTAGTTTTCAGACTCGAAAACTCTTATTAACCTCTCCGTGACTCGTAATGTGGATATACAACTGAATAAAAATCATAATACTTGTGATCGATCATTAATAATCGGGTCCTTCGGTCGTCACAAATCCAGAGACTTTCACACTCTCGAGGCTTGCAAATAAATAATAAAAAAATCGTAATCGATAAACGACGAGTGATCGTGAATAATGAATTAGCGTATTTAGGCGACGTGGCCGAGTGAATTTTAAAGTTGACTGGGCGAATCCAGGAGGATAGCGCTCCCCTAGTTGGCACGGTCAGCTTTGAAAGCGTCTCAGGCGTCGACGTCGTAGAGAGTGGGAGCGGATAATCCAGGTCCAAGACCCGACAAAACTAACGAGCTGTTCTTTTCTTTTTTTTTTTTTTTGTTTTCATCCATTGAAACAGGAGCGGACGTGCGAAGACCGAGGGACCGCAAGAAGGAGATCATAGACGTATGTGGGAGCGGCGGCAGCGGAGGCGGCGCAGCAGGACCGGTGACGAGGGCGCGGAAACGCAAGCTCGAGCAAACGACGACGAGCACTTGGAGCGACTCGGACAGCTCGGCGGAGAACGCGGAGACGGTGCGCTACCCCAAGCGAGAGGCCAACTTACACAGAAAACAGAAGGCCGGAAAGCGGCCCAAGCGTCTCGCCACCATCATCGTCGAGTAATAAATACCTTTTCCCCCGCTGTTCATCTGCTTTTAAGCACCACAGCTCCTCGTCTGTCGTTCTCCATATCCCTTACTACTTACATACTCACCATCCTCATCCTTCTTCAACTCGAGCTCCAACATCTTCCCCATCCTCATCCTCGTCCTCGTCCATCATCCTAATCCCTTCCTCACTCCTATTCTCATTGTTCTCTCGCGTCTTATATTATTACTCTATGCTGTTGTCATTTGCGGGAGAACGTGCAGCATCGACCTTTGGCTCCTCGATCGCCGAGACCCCGAGGACGTTGTTAGATGGTGGTGGGTGGGTGGGACACCTAGCGTCTGGTGGAGTGGAGCTACCGAATGGTTGTTCGAAGGTGACTTGGGGAGCGTGTTTTATGAGCCGAACTCTTGCAACCGAAACTTGCCGTTATCGGTGAGGATGTGCAGCCAAGCTAATACTCAAGCGTTATGAGTAACACGACTATGGTTTCCTTTTCTTATCTTTTTTTTTTTCTTCTCTTTTTTTCTTCTTCATCGTTTTACCTTTTTCTTTCTCGTACCAAAATTACTCTCATTGGTATTATTATTGTGCGTTTCGCGAATGTTGTAGAGGACAAACGAAAGTAAACGAACATTCATTTGCGTTATTCATGATTTTTACTCTTATTTTATGTTGAATTATTAGTCGAGCTAATTATTCACTTACGTTGCATTAAAATATCTTATAGTGTACTAGATTTTTTTTTTTTTTTTTTGATTTTTCCTCGACGAAAATGTATTTCGTTGCGTTTTCGTTAAACAGCTATTATCGTGCTTTCAACACACTTTCGAATGCCTAGCGTAAATATAAAATTGAAATTTTCGATTTATAAAAAAAAAGCATTGTAAATTCGAAAGAGCAAGAGAGAGAGAGAGAGAGAGAGAGAGAGAGAGAGAGAGAGCAAGGGAGAGCAAGGGAGAGCAAGGGAGAGTGAGAGAGAGTGAGAGTGAGAGTGAGAGTTTGAGTGAAAGTGAGAGTGAGTAAGTGAGAGAGAGACAGACAGACAGACAGACAGACAGAGAGACAGAGGCTAAATTTTGATGTTGCAATATCTTAAGAATTAATATATACCGCTGCCTTCTCGAGATTCGCACTGAAGAAGCGAATCGTTACATCATTCCTATCTCGATACTTTTAGAAAGTGTGTAAATAAATATAATTACCGGCGTGTATGGATCTTTATATAGATGCCTCGATACATGTATCGTTATATGAAAAACATTCTTTATGTTAAAACAGCTTGAAATAAAGATTAAGAGGATCATTGTATCATATTTGAATGTGCAGTTGAGTGCGTTATCGCAATGCCCGTATTTTCATACGCGAAATCTCTCGTTTATTATAATCTCGACAGTAGCAATTGGTCGATTTTTGTTTTTTAACAATACGAAAAGAAAGACCTTCATCCGGTACGTCAATTTCATTTGCCATGAATTAGAAAAGTCCAAGTTTCTATTGCTCAAACGTTTTAGTTCTTTTCACCATTATTTTACTTAATTAATAAATATATACATATCTGTATCTCGCTCCCTCCCTCCCCCCCCCAACCCCCCAACCACTCTCTTAAAAATTGATACTATCGCCGTAATTGATTCGATATTTTTAAATTATCAAGTTATTTAATTCTTAAGAGTACGAAAAAATTTAATATTATACGCAACTTTTAATTTCATTTTACATGATTGGTGAGTGAGCAATTGTTCATCAAAATATTATTTTAACATAATGCACAAACATACTTTTACGTAATGTGTACTTTCGTGCATCGATGCGCAAAAAAAAGGAATAAACCAACAAAACTTTCAAATTGTATGTAAAAAGAAAAAAGAAAAAGAAAAAGACATAGGCGAGCTTCATACTTATTATTGATCTAAAAGCCAATAATTATCTATTTATCATTTCAATTATGTAAATCCGAATCCGTTAATATAAAACAAATTTTGTTATTTTATTTTTTATTTTTTTTTTTTCCGTTAATATTAGGTATATCGAAGTGCACTCGTATAAAAACAAACAAAAAAAAAAATAAAAACCAAAAACAAAAAAAATGAATTATTGCCTTTAGAATCAACCAAATAAGAAAAGAAAAAAAATATTTTGATAAGTAAAAAGTATTCAATTCTGTATACAGATAATATCCCTTAAGAGCTGTTATTATTGCGAAAAGTGGTTTCTAGATAATTGTGCATATCTGCTTTTTTTCTTTTTATTTCGAAGGATAAGATATTTCTGTTTGCGTAAGGGGACAATGTTTAGGCCAAAAACGAGTAATTGTGGACTTCGTTTTTCGGACGCGATGAGCACAAGTGCTTCTATATATCTTTTGTAAATCTGAAGTGCAATTTCGTCTTCGTTATTATATATTTTATAAAATAATAAGATTTAAAACTCTCCGTATTGACTTAAGAAAACAATGTTCCGAAGATATTATATAAACACACTGATATGCCCTCGCGCGCGCGCGCGCGCGCACGCACGCACCCACACAATATAAACACACATGCATACATACACACACCCACATATGGGCGCGCGCGCGCGCGCACGCGCACACATATACGTATGCACGTACGTACATGTGCTTATATGTATCGATACGCATGCATATGTATGTATATATCGTGAGAGCGGGAGCGAGCGCGGGCGTATGTATGCGTGCGTGCAATGCATGTGTATACGTATGTTTGTATAAATATGTATACGTGTAAGTCAGAGTTTGCCTTTTCAAGAACTGAGATTTCGACTATTTAGCCTGATGTGTGGTAATCACTGTGAAAAAGAGAAAAAAAGTAAGAAAAAAAAAATAATAATAACCTGATAACGGATAAAGTGGTAAAGACTGACAAGGTGGTATTGCCAACTCAGGGAGCAGATAGATTACAAGAGAAAGAGAAACACATGCACATGTTCTTGTACTCGATGTAAAATTTCGAAAAATAAACGCATTGTAACGCCTCTACCAAAGACGACTGAAGCGTCACTGCGCCAAGACCAAAAATACAAAAAAATATATTACACAAAAGCTGTTTGTGGCTGTATCATAGCTCGAAAAGCTAAGAGAGGCACATGGAAAGTCCATAAGGGGAAAAATTGCTAATTTGGTTAGAAAATTTTAATAAAAATTATGGCACCTAGAGAACTTGTTATCGACTATTATAGACTCTTTTCTTTCTCCTTTTAAGGATAAGAAAGATGGGCTTATTCGAGCTTATTCGCAAATTGATTTTTGGATAATTTATTAAAAATTTAGAGTAAATATTATTTGCTCATCGTTAACTATTAGGTATATTAGAAAATCTTCTAACCAAAAATTATTGATTTAGTTTGTGAAAGAAAGTAAAGCGATCATTAAAGTTTAGTATTTTACAAAGACTCCAAGTGTTTAGTGCAATTTCTCCCCCGTCTAGATTATTACCAAACAATAATCTATTTTTTATGACTTTCTAAGATTTTCCGGAAAGCTATGTACATTATAATTACGATCTGTCATATATTGTGTAGCGATTCATTATTCTGCGGAATATATATCAGATTAAGCTATTGAGACTTGAGACTCGCACAAACTATTTAGCTACGTACTTTTTCTCTTTGCTTCTATCGCATAAGATTAATTAACGCTTGAGAGATCTTCCTATTTTATAAACAATTAATTGTTCGAGCAAGTGTCTTAGATATAAAACGATTGGGAATTGAACTTTAATGACAAGCGGAAAGAATAAAAAACCACGAAGAAAACATAAAAACAAAAAAACAAACAAAAACAAAAAAAAAACAAAAAAAAAAACAAAAAAAAAAAAGAAATGAGAAAAAACGAATGATAGTAATAATGGTGAAAGAGAATAAAAGAAAAGTGAAAGAAAAACACGCGCGCAACCCAACTAATACGGAATAATGCGATTATAAAATATTAAAAATACGTGAGAACGAACGTTGTAATGTAAAGAAAAGGGCTAAAGTAGTCTGAACGAGTCTCAATTCGATGCACCTAAAGTTTGTCCTGCAAATTATATATTTAAGAAGAAAGTTATAAATGGCAAAACAAGATTATATGAATATATTATATATTTAATATAACGCTATTATTACATAGAAAATAATATTCTCTAACAAGATAAAAATGAAGTATATATATACATATATATATTTTTATTTAGGAAGCAAAAGAAGTCACTAAACGTCTTAAATTATACGATGCATATTGGTTGCCCTCCTTTGATAGTGTGCGGATAACCAGTTTTTTCTAGTGATATACCATTGTTACATTATGAATAATTCTTTCATATATATATATATATATATATATATATATATATATATATATATATATGTATGGAATATATATAGGAGTTATTCTGGAAAATCCATGGTTGTTAAATATATCATTATCATGTTTACTTAATTGATGTTGTATTTTGTACTTCCTTCTCTCAATTCTTTTATTTATTAATATTTATGTGAACTGTTTATCTCTTATTAAAAGGTGTTATTACTGGGCTGGCTGTGGCTGCTGGTAGATTAACTCGTTGCAAAAAGTTTTTACAAATTCATTTAGGAAAGTAAATAAATTATAGATATTGATGTTCAAGGAAAAGAAAATCACATTTTACGAAGTTTCTATGCAACTCTAAGAATTACATAAATTGTTTTTTAATAAATATCTTTAATTAACTACCATACGAGAGATTGCAAAATTGTCGTGTTATTTTAATTGTGCACTTTGTTAATTGTGTTTGTCGATTATTTTCATTTTAACATTAATAAAATAGGCTACAAAAGTGGCTTATAATTTAAACGAGAGCATTTTGATTATAATTTGATCAACTTCGAATTGGCGCCTAAAGTTGTGCCATTTTTATTTTTTTTTCGACCGTTTGGTAATTACGGCCCGGCCGATAAAGTAGGTAACGATATTGTGGAACGACGTATTATGCGAGGTCGCTCCTCCGATCCATCTCAGCCGGCAATTAATTATCAATATGTCTGTACAACGCATTAAATTATTTGCGAATGTGCCTAGAGTATTCGTTACAGAAATAAAGGAAGAAAACATAGAAAAGAAAACAGCGGAAGAAAAAGGAAAGAAAAATGTATGAAGATTGTTCAATAGTTATGAACGCACTACTATTATAATGAATGGTAAAGGCGTGAAATATTTATTTATGCTATTCTTCGTTATCCTTCCTTCACATTAAATGTTACATTATTACGAAATAATAAGTTAATAGTTCGTTCGGTTCCTACTCTAATGATTCTGTAGGATAACGATTGCCAACAATAAATACCATTACAATAAAATACCAAACTGTGCTTTTACTTTCTTTTGTTTTCAAAATCAATACATTTTACGCTTCCCTAAAATAAAACAAAAGAAAAAATAAAAAAAAATAAAATAAAACAAAATAATAAATAAAAAAAAAAAAGAAAGAAAAATGAAACGAGCATTGTGTAAGGTCAGGCTCATTTTTGCAATTAACTTCGCACAATAAATGCACTAACGGCGTCGGATCGCGCTCCACGGGAATGCAAAATCATTAGGGTTTGGAAGTACCCCGGGTTAAACAATTATCTCACTCTCTCTCTCTCTCTCTCTCTCTCTCTCTCTCTCGCTCTCTCTCGCTCTCTACATAGTAATGGTGGTAATGACGAGGAGAACGACGACAATTTTAAAGTTAAACAACTGAAAAAGGTGAAAATTCATGTTGGTCGAGAGGGAGTCGGTTAAATTGCGCGCAAGCTCCGTCCGAGCTTGCAGCATTAATTATAGCACCTCGGTCGCACGGAATCGAGTCGGTGACACGAGGGATTCGTTTCGTTGTCGCCGTTGTGGTCGCGTCGAGTCGACCCTGATCAGCCAGCAGCCGAGGTCCCTCCGAGCACCCGCTTCACCGTCGCCCGTCTACCCGGACGCTTACGACGAGCTACGCCGGGTATGTCGGGCATGTCGGATATTAGTACGCGCATGCGCGTCCCGTCTTTAGTGCCGGGAGTGCTGCGATTGGTCGGCAGACGGACGCCGGGGGCCAATCGGCGGCGCCTCGGCTTCCGGTCGGCGGTTTGCGCGGGCGCGCGGCCCGACAATCCGTCAAAGCCGGCGAAGCGTTGCGCAGCTCTGCAACGGTCCGCGGTGGCGTCACTTCTCCGGTTCCGTTTGTCCGTTGAGCATCGTGAAAAAGTTGGTTAGCGGTAGGCGCGCAGAGGCCGCATCCAGTGGGATTTACGAGGTGGAGCGAGGCAGGAAGTTGGCGCTGCGGCTTGACCGAGGGAGCGTCGGTGCACGGAGTCGAGCGAAGTAAGCAAGGTGCCGTGCTCTTTCTTTATTACATTCAGATCCCGCACCTAGTGATGGCGTGGGTCCGGTTGCTGGCGTCGGGAGGGGATGGGGGAGTTATAAGGATATAATGCCGTGCCGTGCCTCGTTCTACTCTATACCTATACCCCCTAACCCTCCCACCAAACCATTAACTACATACACGTAACCTCACTCGAGCCCGCTTTATCTACTCCAACCCCTCCCCGTTTTGCTTCCCCATCACGCTTTACTCACTCACTCGCTCACTCGATATATGCGCGTGCGTGCGTGCGTGCGTACTCTCATTGATATACGCGTAGTATACGTGCTTGCGCGTAAATATACCCGCGCACGGACACGCGCGCACGTGACAAATGTATTTACGTAAATGCGCGCGCGCGTGTGTGTGTGTGTGACCATATTCATACGAATGACTCTCTGGTTGAATATAGATATTTACACGGACGGCGGAAGGTGTGCAGCGAGGTGTAAGAGCGCGAGCCCGAGTCGATTAAAGAGCAAGGAAGGGACGGTTAAGCGCAGCGAGGATGTCGACCAAGGCGAGCAAGAAGGCGGCTTCGTCGACGAGCTCCCAGCAGCCCTCGACATCGACGCCCATCGGGAGTGGCAGTTCGAGTAGCCGGGGCAGGCCCAGCAGCCCCTTGAGTCCGACGCGCTACTCGCGCCTCCAGGAGAAACAGGACCTGCAGAATCTCAATGACCGGCTGGCTTGTTACATCGATAAGGTGCGCCACCTCGAATCCGAGAATTCGAGGCTCACCCGGGAAGTGCAGACCTCCCAGGAGATCGTCACCCGGGAGATATCCAACATCAAGTCGATGTACGAGCATGAGCTCTCGGACGCGAGGAAGATGCTCGACGAGACGTCGCGGGAGAGAGCCAAATTGGAGATTGACACCAAGAGGCTCTGGGACGATAACGAAGACATTAAGAACAAGTACGTTGGCTTAGTTTCTCTTACTATTGGGCCTAAGCGAGCTTCTTCCATGTTCTCGACAATCAGCTTGTAGTAGCACAATCCTGCCGTCGATCAACCAGCTACTCATTGTTTTAACAGTCGTGGTTAGTTGGAACCTGTTTTCATTGGATTTTGCGATAAAAGTAGGAGATATCTTTCATGGCTGCTCGTTTCGTTATTGCAGAAGATCAGTTATTGGTCAAGTCCCAAAGTGTTTGGAGCAAATTCTTTATTTTTTTTTTTTTTGACTAACGAAGCTTCGTTCCGACCCATTTAATCAATGGTGTTTGATGCACTCGTGTGTGCTCAATGCGTTGCATGGAATCTCTCAATTATCCCCCAACGAAAAGTAATTATGTTAAAAAAATTTGCCTAACCCCTAAAATGTATCGTTTGTACAAAAAGGCGTTTCAATGCCCATTATAGCCATAGCTACTACGTGCGTAATGGTTTTTCCTTCTTGAAGTACATTATAGTATCGCCGTGTCCAATTATGCAGGCGACTAGAGTCTGGTAGATTTTCCTAATTAAAGCATAGACTTATTGTGGACGTAAGCAAACAATTTTTATGTACATTTATATAAATTGCAAGGGAAAACATTTGATATTTGCTCGTTTAAATGTATCAACTGTTATGTCAAGATATTCCAGAGGAGTAATAAATAATTGTAAAATTAACCATATTTCAATGGTAGCTTAGGGGTGAGATTTCGCTTAGTAAACGGGACTATTTACCATTCGACAGACTGTGTTTATCTTGGCAGTTTTATAAATGGAATTTGTAGTTAAAAACAGGCGCCCCATGCACTCTGCATATTATAATCAAATAAAAATTATGCTAAATTACGCATTATTTAAGTATCCGCGAATAATGTAACATGGTAATTTATTCTGAAAATACATTTCTCGTGAAGATTTTTCAAAACGCCCGTAGAGTTTTCTTCCATCGTTGATGAATAGTGATGGGGCGAGGGAATCAAGCGACATTCAACTTCACTGACATTGTGTGACTTTGAGTCACATAGCCGTCCATTGCAGGTTCAACGACCATTAGGACTATTGAGCGAGGACGATATTTTTGTAATATTCCATTTAAATGTGCTGATCGTCCGCGCTACCGAGCTACACCGGCATTAATTCGAAATACGTGGACGACGCCGGCAAAGGAAGAAAGGGCCAAGGGAGTGGGGATATGCGTACGGTACATTGCATTCCTTTCTATACGGAGACGAGGACGATTCCAACGGGACGGCGAACGTGGAAAGTTATTACGTTAACCAGGCATAAGAGACCACCATAAGTGGTCCAATCGCGGTTCCGTAGATTCGACGCCACACCAATGGCGTTTCCTTCGTCGGCTGCTGCGTCTTCCCGCATATCTTAATTACGTCACGCCTCGCTATGCGTCGATGATGTCAACTTCTCTCTTTTCCACCTCCTCCTCCTCTTCCTCCTCCTCTTCCTCCTCCTCCTCCTCCTCCTCCTCCTCTTGCTCCTCCTCCTCCTCCTCCTCCTCTTGCTCCTCGTCGTCATCATCGTGCCGCCGTCCTGCCGAGGCTCGCGGCCTGACCTAAAAACATTGACTCTCTTTCGGTGGGCGCGATCTGGCACAAGGCTATTTATACAGCACGCCATCAAGGAAGATGGACCGACCCCCGCCCCCCCCCCCCCCCCCAATCCCCCTTATACCCTCACCCCGGCCCGTCATCCCATAAACACACCGAGCCACCTCGGGCTTCCATAATAATCGATGTATCAAAGATCGGCGAACGATTGCGGCGTTCCCCCGATGCCAACATTTTCGAGGTTAGCCGAGCCTCACCGGCGGATATGACGTCGCGGATGCACGGCGTTGTCATTCATCTCTCGAAAGAAGACGCGACGCTCTCTTATCGGGCGCTCTTAATAACCAGCGTGGCGGCTTCTCACTTGGTCCATACTACGGCAAGTGTCGACGAACGTATTTATGAATTCCGATTGCTTGGATTTAATTTTAGATGTTGATTTGTTATGCCTCTTTTACACGGGTCTATGGGAAGTTGGTTTTGAAAATGGCTGGACGTGGACGATTAGGTACTTTCACCATTAGAAGAAGCTCGTTTGAGAAGTCGTTGTTTAGCTTAGGCGTTCTTCTTACCCAAATTTCATTCGATGAACATTGCGCAATCCCTTGGAAAAATTGTCAGTGGAAAAGAAATTTCGTGGGTTGTTGGGATGGGGTGGGAAGTATGATTAAAGAGACTTTTAAGTCGCAAACGGATCATCATTGCTTTTATATTACAATAACAATTAGGAAATAATTTACATCTGCAATGATTTATAAATACCATTTGAGACAAGGTACAGGCTATATTTGTCAAATGGCGCTTTACGTTTAGAAATACGATCGACCGTTATTGAGGAATCGAGAGAGAGAAGATCGTCGTTTCTGACGTATAAGCCACGATAGAAATATTGTTTGTTTTTTTTTTTTTTTTTTTCTTAAAAAATTTTCTTCGTTTCGCATGTCATTCTGCGCGTAATAAACGTCGCCGAATAGCAATAGCCGAAGAAGATTTAGTGGTTGATGATTTCGCATAATCGGGCGCACGCAAGGACGTTTGTTCTGATTTTTTCTTTTCTTCTTTCTTTGCATAAATCAAAGGCGAATGAAAAATTTTACTCAGGTTCGTGTGTTTAGTTTGTTGTCGGTAAGATGCATCATTTAGATCGCACAAAAAGATAATTAAATTAATCGTCCGATCGGTGCTAGTTGGGGAGAGTCGGGCAATATTCATTATTTGCAAAGCCTTATATTTATTTTCTAATAATAGTTCAGACGATGCATATTAACACTTTATTCCGTAGAATTGACGTAATATTTATTTTTTCGTTTATTATCTCTTTAAAAAGTGCCGACTACTGCCCGATGGCGGCAAAAACTTGTCGCCCTAATCCCTCCTGGAATTGATTTTGTCAGACGACTCAACGGGAAAGTTGTGTCGGCTACGTAAGTGGACCGTAACTACGATTATCCCGTTGACTAGTTATTGAATTAACCGTAAACAAATTTTATTTTTTCTTTTTAAATAGTCGAGAACATCGCGTATGATCATTAATTTAAAAACAAAACAAAAAAACAAACAACGAATTGTTTAATGTTGGTGATGGCTAGAAAGAGTGTTTTGGTAAGGGGAAAAGGCCGCGGGAAAAGAACGAAACTGGTGTGTGCGTGCGTGCGTGCGTGCGTGCGACTGCGTATATAATAAAAGTTTGAGAAATGAATTGAAAATGAGTATTTTGGCCGCTGCCGACGTCAATCCGGAAAATCGAAGTACGCTTGGTACACTTTTAAAATCGTAATGCTTTCATTCGACGGCCCTGAGCCAAATACAATTTTCGGATTCTAATGTAAATAAAATGCCGTTTGTCAAATTAATGACACGGAGGCGCGATAACTAGCACTCGGCTACAATAAAAAAAAAAAAAAAAAAAAAAAAAAAAAAAAAACATAAAATATCAGAATTTGTTGATTGCCATTGTAATGTCTAGGGCTAGTAAACTTGGGATGGGCTCGCAATCGTTCTCAGGTTAACCGGAAAT